CACACACACACACACACACACACACACACACACGCACATCTTCTACTTGTTGACACGACTGTCACACTCACAGGTCTCGCCTGTCTCTCGGATTGTCTTCTTCTCTCTCTCACACACAAATCTCTGGCTCCTTCATACTACAGCTGTTGTGTCAGGCGTTGTCGACTACCCTACTACTACGCTCACTTCCACTCTCTCAGTCATCGCATCAATGCACAAGACCGCAGCAGCGCTTCCGCATTGAGCATGACGTCCAAACTCTTCTGGACTTTTGTACTGGGTGCAGCTTCACTTCCTGGCTGTGATGTTGAGACCCACTCTCTGCCGCCGCAGTCGGTCTCCAGCATCCGAAGTAACCGCCTTCCGGAATAAGCTGCATCCGGAAAAAGGGTTCAGACATACAGACTTCCAGGGACTGCCCACCCCAACCACTAAAGGATGTACGGACCTAACATAACTGCCGGCTTTCATACAGCCTAAATCTAAACTACGGCCTCTGCAGCCCAGTCCTACCAGGTGGCCTTCATACAATGCGGAACCAGGACTTTGGGACTGCAGTCTTCACCCGAATACAACGTACGGGCATTATCACTGTATCTAGAAGCAAAGTTGCCCCGAATACAGCTACGGTACGTTGTATTCGGGTGAAGACTGTAGAGCAGTAATACTGACATTCGTGAATCCTGCGGGCCTTCATTCCTGCGGGCCTAAACTTAAGGCCCTCCGAGAAAGACGCTGACTTTTCTTGTCCGCGTATCTGCGTATCTGACTGATTGTCATGAGAGCTTGTCCATAGCGCGAGACAGGTCCATCCTTTTCTTCTGGTTCCTGATACTGCCATCTTACTTTGGACTTTGTGATAATTTTTCAAAGTGTTGAAAATGCGCTGAAGTTTGAACTGATTCTGTGGTCTTCCCCTCCATCCCGTTCCGAAAGGTGCGTGATCGACTCGGGGGTTGAATATCCTCACTACCATCCATGTATGAAGATATCGCCGACCTTCGGGAAGGAAAGGACTTTGTGCCTAAGTCCACAGGTACTGACCGGCGCGCTGCGTTCCTCGGCATGGCCCGAAATGAAGTCCGATGGCATCAGGTATGTCCATGAGTGTAATCACCCGCACCGCACACACAGAGGAGAATGGTTTCGTCCGTTTCAACGATGGTCGACGGTTTGCATAATGCACATCGCACAATCATTTTTGGAGGACTCTGAAATAGATGCTTATGGGATGGGGTACACGCAGCTTCGCCTTCCCTTAGGCATACACTTCACAAAGTTCCCCAAACATGATTGCGATTGTCGTCAAAAAGGATGAAACCACTCTCCTCCGTGTGTATGCGGGTAATACACTCATTTTGACTTTCTCCTCCTTGATCACGAAAACTGGTTGTCCTTCGGACTTGCCCAAGCAGCGGTTCTAGGTCTGGGAGGAGCTTATGCAAATCTTTACAGAGAGATGAAGACAACCCAGGTCTCGACAAAACCTCATCAACAGCATCAAGCCGTGCATTTATTCCGCCGATTGACCGCAATGGCTGACATCAAATATGGTGCTTCAAAAACATAATCCTCAAATCGAGCAATGGTGCTTCAAAAACATAATCCTCAAATCGAGCAGCAGACTTCACGTCGAATTGAGCCACTGCTTTCCAATAGCTCAAGTCGACGTGAAGAACTACTGCGCGATCTGAAGATTCTGTCCTGGAAGCCTCAGCCATTGCGGTCAATCGACGCAACAAATGAGCGGCTTGATGATGTAGATGAGGTTTTGTCGAGACCTGGCTTCAAAAAGATCTGCAGAAGCTCCCAGATCTAGAACCGCTGCTTGGGCAAGTCTGAAGGACGACCGATTTTTTTTTTTTTTCAGGGGGGAAGAGTCCAGATGAGTGTATTACCCGCGCACACACAGAGGGCAATGTTTTCGTCCTTCACCACCACCTCTGGATGCCCAAAAGGATACAGATGTCTATGGATGGATGGCTTCGACACCCGATAAGATCAATCATATCGCCAGTGCGTGGACCGACCAGCCAATCAATCTTGCAAATGCAACTCACTTGACTCTATAACAGCCCCCACTTCACTATGTGGGTGTCTGCTATGTATGCTGAGCCCCTTCTGTACCACATCTTCCTAAGTTCCTAAACCCCCAATAGCACTTTCTATCAGCACCATTCATTTTGGTGGTTATCTAAAGGAGTCACCATGGCAGGCATAGCATGTACACACAAAAAAGTGCGTGCATGCCCGCACGCCGAAGTGCGTGCACCTCCACAAACGTCCAAGCACAGAAGCCCCCGTGCACGTGAAAGCATGTAGGGGGGAGAGAGAGAGAGAGAGAGAGAGAGAGAG